GTCAGTGGTTTCAAACTCACTGGTTGGGCCGAATCGACCGGAGTTTTCAAACCTTGTGTCAGGCCTCCTAAGTACACGGTGGATCATCTTCGGGGCTCCTCAATCGGCTTGTGCCAGGCAGTCTTGTCGAAGGTTCTCACAGGTGCGGATGAGCAGCTTGAACAAAAGACCTGGAAACTCACTCAAGAAGAAGTGGAGAAAGGCTGGATCGTGCCCACAACCAACTCCGACCTTGACCAGTGTTTTCTTGCCCACAACTTCGGAATCGTCCAGGGCGAGAAGATTCGCCTCATAGACGACGTTTCGTTGGGGGGCCTAAACGGGACGTTTGGGTTGACAGAAAAGCTGGGCGTGGAGCCGGTGGACGCAGTAATCTCCATCCTGGCAGTGGTATTGGATTCTGATGCATCCGCGCGCAAAGTGGTTGGGAGGACTTACGATTTGGTGTCCGCATATAAGCAGTTCGGCGTTTCTCCCAAGAAGTGGATCGACTGCGAGTTGTGGTGAAAGTCCCGGGCAAATCCGAGTACGCCGTCTTCAAGGTGCTGGCATTGCCCTTCGGTGCTGTTGGTAGTGTAGCAGCTTTCCTCAGAGTAGCTGCAAGCATTTCTTTCTTAGCCCGACGTGCGTTGAAGCTGGCCGTCACCGCTTTCTTTGATGACTTCACTTGCCTCAGCCAAAAGGGAGACCAGGCCTCCACTGACTTCGCGATCACTGGCCTGTTCAAACTTCTTGGAGTCGATTACGCTCGTGAAGGGAAGAAGGCACCGGACTTCTCAGATTGTTTTGCTTGCTTAGGAGTCGTGGTTGACCTAGGCCACTTTGGCGAGGGTCAGATTCGCATCAAACATACGGAGCAAAGACGTCACGATCTTGCTCAGCAGATACGGGAGATTCTCACGGCTGGTGAGATCACTCACAAGACGGCTGAAAAACTGCGTGGCCGGATGACCTGGTTCTCATCCTTTCTTTTTGGAAGGCAGGCGAACGCAGTCACTCGGATGCTGGGTCAGATTGTCAAATCGGGTCGGCGTCAGTTTCGTTTAGACAAAGAACACACACTCCTTTTGGATGCAGCGTTGCAGATGGTCGCGAAAAGTGAGCCGGTAAAGGTCACACGTAACCTTCTGGAATGCTGGGTTGTCTTTACAGATGGATCTTATGAACCGGCTTCAGAGAGACCAGGTGCTATAGGAGGGGTGTTATTTTCGCCGGTGGGTACTGCAGTCAGCATGTTTGGCGAAGCGGTTCCGGACCACGTTTTGAGTTGGCTGCTCCAGGACCGGCAGCATCCAATCTTCGAACTAGAGCTCTTGCCGGTTTGGGTAGCTTTCACTGTGTGGCAAGGTTTGCTATCTGACAAACAAGTGGTGCTTTATCTCGACAATGACGCGGCACGGGGCGCTCTCGTGGCGGGACACGGAGGGCAGGGCTGGACAACATCTGGTATCGCAATGCGTCAGATCGGAGGCTGGTCACCGAAAATCCACCTGGTATGGCCGTGTACCTACGCACTCCAATATCAGCGATGGACCGAGCAGACTAGTCTTTGATCACCCTTTGCTGAGAGGCGTTGAAAGGCTTTCCGTTCCTTGGGATCGTTTCGATTTTCCGTGAGCACGTTTATGTGGGGAGACACGGGTGCCCACGGAATCAGGCTATCATTTGCCTCGTGGTAAGCGGCACCTTTTAAAAGTCAATCAAAGACTGTGGATTTCCCCAGTGCTCGTTTGCGCGGATGAAAAGAAAGAGCCGATCCTGTGGTCAGCATTTCTCGCTCTGGATGAGCTACACCTCTTTCTGTAAACCCCCGTTTGTGGTTTGCCCTCTCCCCCCTTCCTTTTGGGAACCTGCTCGATGGAAGATACTTTGTTGCAAGCAGGTTTGAGTGCGAGAGCTGGAGGAATAAGTAAGCCCTCCTGAAAGGATGGACACCTTATTCTGTAATCTCAGCATTGTTGCAAATTGAATTATCAACCAGATAGCAATTTGTGTGACCTGCTGCGACAAACAACCAAACTGTTGTTTCATCTCTCCCTTCGCCATGGGCGAAAACAAGGTTTTGAGTTGAGACGCTTTCACACGTTTGTGACATGACTTGTTCACTGTGTGAATTTTCCCTTGAGTTTTGAACAACTGTATTTGAGTCACCCCTTTGCATGTGTTGCCTCCAACATCCATGTGAACATGAATGTTCATGCATTGGCTCAGGGTGGGGTAGTGGTGGGTGGTCCAGCTAAATAAGCTGGCCAACAATTTTGACTCCCGCCCGCCCACACCAGGGAAACACAGGTGCCCACGAAACCAGACTATCATTTGCCTCGTGGTAAGCGGCACCGTTTGCAGGGGAGACACGGGTGCCCACGGAATCAGGCTATCGTTTGCCTCGTGGTAAGCGGCACCTTTTAAAAGTCAATCAAAGACTGTGGATTTCCCCAGTGCTCGTTTGCGCGGATGAAAAGAAAGAGCCGATCCTGTGTGTCAGCATTTCTCGCTCTGGATGAGCTACACCTCTTTCTGTAAACCCCCTTTTGTGGTTTGCCCTCTCCCCCCTTCCTTTTGGGAACCTGCTCGATGGAAGATACTTTGTTGCAAGCAGGTTTGAGTGCGAGAGCTGGAGGAATAAAACTTAATACTTCAAGAACAACATTGGTCTGTATTCAGTAAAAAATTGCTACCTAGTCCTTTTTTTTGATAATTAGCCCAAGTAAGATAGTTTGAATCACATTGACAAATGTTTCTAAATGTTGTAGTTTGCCGAATTTAGTAGAATAGGGGGAATCACCAGAGTAATTGGACTACAGCATGAACCTGAAATCCTGCAAAAGGCGCCCCTCCCTTTGCTATGTACTAAGAAGCATTGGAATAGCTTGTAAACAAATGAACCTGACCTTTCCTAAGAGGCACCCAGGAATAATCCAGCTTGGTGCAATATTTCGAAAACATATAACTCTTCGATTTGTTCTTAATTCTTCCGAAATTTAGCATAACTAGAAAAATAACGGCACCCGCTCCTCTGCGAAAAAAAGAAGAAGAAGGAAACAAAAAAAACGAATACTTAGAACAGCAGTCGGGCCATGTATTAAAGAGTAACTTGAATAGTTATCATAGTCACAAAAGGCCTTGTCCTCTTCATTCTAAAGCAATATGGAACAAGTAGACATGAATCTGGAAGGCCCCAAAGGGCAGCCATTGCTTCTGGGGCAATCAGGGCAACTAGGGCAGTAAACAGTAGAACCCCCAAAGGCAGCCATACCTTCGGGCTTAACGAGAACAATTAAACGCATGTAGGGCCACGTAAGAATAACATGAGTCTGCAATTGACCAAAAGGCACTCATGCGTTTCGAGTAATTGGAATAGTTAAATATGATCGCAATGAGAATAGTTAGACAAATGAAACTGGATTTCCCAAAAGGGCACCCATCCCTTTGGGATATCTTAGCATAATCAGAATGGCCAACATAATCAAGACACCTTGACAACAACTCTGAACTGTCCCGTTGGGAATATATATGTGTATATACATATATGTCTATAGTCATTCTAAACATCATACGCCCTAGAATGGTTTTGTCACAAAGTAATTTGAAGTACTGGAGAAAATGAAGCTGGACTTCACCAAAACCGCACAGTTTCTTTTGGAGTAATTAGAATACTGAGAACACATTCAGTTTTGTTTCTAAATGTTCTAATTTGCCCGATTACGTGAAATTCACCCAACGTGGGAAAATAGAAACGTTAACGTAGTTGTTTCAGTCATGAAACTGAAGTTCCCTAAAACGCGCCCATATCTGTGGGCTCAATGGGGATCACAGAAGTAAACGCATTTGAATGGCTTCTTTCACCATTGAATGAACTGGGATGTTTTGAACACACGGCACCCATCCGTTTGGGAATGGAGCAATGAGAATAGTTAGAACAAATCTAACAAACAGAATACTGAATCTCTGATTCACAAATACGCACCCGTTCCTTTGGGAACAGTTGGAATATCTAGAAACAACATATGACCTTGTGTGTGTATAATTATTCTGTTTGTTGTTGGAATACTTAGAGCAACTAGGATAGTTTGGACAATTACAATTCATGAATCTGAAATCCCAAAAGGCGTCCGCTCCCTTTCAGAGAGAACAACACATTCAGAGTAGTAAGAATACCCGCGACCGCCCAGAAGCGGGTCCCCGAGACCTCCAAAAAGCGTGGCAGCCGCAGCAAAAACGCACTTCCGAGCCCCCCGACCCCCACCCCAGCTTCATGCTCCATACACCCTCCATGGAGCGCGGCGACTTTTCCTGGTTATATACTGCTATCATCAACACAACCCTAAATCTAAACCAGAGAAGCCAGCCTCGGACGCACACGGACAGCCAGCTCCAAGCAAACCTAAACCCTAGAAACCCTACACCTAAACCCTAAAAACCCTCAAAACCCTAAACCAAAACCCTAAACCTGAACCTTAAAAACAACCCTCAGCCCAAACCGCAACAACCCTAAACCAAAGCCTTAACAACCCTAAACCTAAGCCCGAAAAAAACAAATCTAAAAACCTTAAACCTAAACCCTAAAAACCCAAAACCTAAACCCTAAGAACCCTAAACCTGCCAACACGATCATACAGCACAATAAGACCTTGGGTAAGAAGACTCGGAGTAACAAGAACAATGAACATGCGACCTCTGAAGAGGCACCCGTCCATATGTTGTCCAAAATCTTAGCAATTCAGACAAATCAAATGCTTGGGAAAATTAGAATAGGTAGAAACATGAATTTGGAATTCACCGACAGGTACCCGACCCTTTGGGAAAACAACAAGAGTCTAAGAGGCCAAGAGTTGCTTCTAGATTGTCCAACCATGCTAGTTAATCAGACTATTTGGAACAATTAGAACAGCTATAAGCTTGAAAGAAACGAGCGGCCACGCATAGGCTCAAATATTCCCTGCTACGGGGGGTGGGGGGGTGGGGGGAAGGGCGCACGGAAGGGCGCACCCCACATGCAGGTGCAGAGCACCGAGGAGCGGCTGAGCGCAGCGCAGTCCGAGATCCAGCGGCTGGTCTGCGCGTCGGAGCAGCGGATCCTGGAGAAGGAGCAAGCCGCAGAGGAGCTGAGGCTGAAGGGCCTGGAGGCCGCAGATCTGGCGCAGCAGCTGGAGGCCATGAAGGAGCACTGGACCAAAAACGCCGCGGAGCTCAGGTTTCAAGGGGACTTGCTGGAAGAGAAGCGCCTGGAGAACAAGGAGCTGACCAGGCATGTGGCCCAGAGGTTCATGGAAACGGAGGATCTCCGCGGGTGCCTTTCCAGCTGCCACGAGCGCTGCGCGCGCCTGGAAGGGGCGTTGCAGCTCAGCGGCTCGGAGCAGCAGCTGCTACGGCAGAAGTTGCAGCAGCGCGAGGCGGAGTTGGAGCAGAGCCAGCGCCAGGTCTTGGACATGTCCAGCGAGCTGGGGGAGAAGTCGCAGCTGCTGACGGCCGCTTTGGGGGAGAAAGGCCTTCTGGCGCAGCAGTTGGACGATGCCAGGGCCCAGCTGGCCGAGTCAGAGGCGCAGCTCGGGAGCTTGAGCTCTTCCCTGGAGCTCGCGCAGCTCGAGAGTCGCCGCATTGCGCAACACCTGGAGGCTGGTTGGCCGAAACTCTGCGCACAACACCTCCCTGGGCACTGAGAACCTAGTGGTTGGGAGAATGTTTTGGTGCCGATGGCGGGGCGGGGGGGGGGGGGGTTGTTTGAATATGTGCCGCGGGCTTGTTGATGGCCGTTTCAATGTTTCAGGCTGCGCAGATGGCGGCGGAGGATCTGCTGGGCCCAGTGTGGGCCTTCAAGCGCCAGGCAGAAGCGATGCACCAAGAGGTGGCCGCTCAGAGGGCACGGGTGGAGGAGGAGAGGGTGCATGGGTTTGCTGTAGGAACCGATGCTCTGCCAGCGTGTCCTGTTTGGGGCTTTTTGGCATTATGTGTCCCTGCTTCGCCTGGGAAGCATCCCCGTTCACCTTCGCAGTGTATAGTATGTTATAGGTTGTTCATAATATATATATATATATACACATCATTACGTATACAAACAAATATATATATATATATATATACATATATATATATATGTATATATAAATATATTCTATATACATAGATATTTGTTCTCCATAAGATGGGTGACCAATCCCAGCTTTTGCCCTCGAAGGAGGAGTCGAAGGCACGGCACTGGCAGCAGGAGTACGAGAAGGTCGCCGCGCGAAGCGCGGAGCTGGAGAGCGTAGGGGCCACGTCCAGGGAGCAGATCCTGGCGCTCCAAGACCAGAGGGATGCGCTGGCGCAAGAGGCGCAGCAGGTGCGAGAGCTTGCTGCCAAGGCTGAGGAGGGAGAGCTTCAGGCGAGGGATCTAGCAAAAAAGAGTCGGGAGAGTGAGGAGCTGGCCAGGGCCCAGGCTGAGGAGAAGGATATTTTGGCGCGCGATGTGGCTGCAAAAGCCGAGGAAAGTGAAGAGCTACTGAGGGTCAAGAGTGAGGAGAATGCGGCGTTGACACTGAAGCTGGCTGTGAAGTTGCAGGAAAGCGAGCAACTGGCTCAGGACTTCGCCACAAGATCTGAGGAGAACGAGAAACAGGAACAGGACTTGGCAGCAGCAACCGAGGAGAAAGAAGCACTCGCCTTGCAGTTGTCGCATGCTACAGAGCAGGTGGCTCACTTTGAGCAGCAGGTTCTGGAGCTCCATTCCTCCCTGAACCTGTCCCAGGTGCAGAATGCCTCGCTGGCGCAAGCATTGGAGTGGAAGGCCATGGAGGCCGAGCACTGTAGGGCACAGCTCGGCCAGCAGAAGCTTCACGTGGCGGCCCTTCAGCAGAGCTTCAGCGCGCTGAAAGCGAGGGATGCGAAAGCCGATTCGCTGGACGCGGACACCACGGACGGAAGAGACAGCGAGAGGGAGGAGATCTGTATGCAGCGGGAGGAGATGCTGATCCGGCTTGCGGCAGAAGTCCAGGCAAAGAAATCAGCAATGCAGGACTGATGGCAGATATGAAAGGGGGGTGGGCCTGGGTTTGGAAGTTCCGTTGTGAGATGCTTCCCGCGCCTTTGGGCCGTTTCCAAGCGGCGCACTTTAAAGGGAAACGGAGACTTTCAATTTGCAATATGTTTGCTACCGGGGAGTAACGCAGACGTTTCCCCCCCATTTTTTTTTCAGGCGTTGTTTTCAGGTGACTGGCCGTGACCTGTTCCAACTGCTGGCCAAGCATTCCATGTGAGATAGAGATGCCAAAAACATTCCCTGTTTTGTTTGGGCCTTGGCGAAGTGCATGCCAATAACAGCTTCAGGAGTATAGTGCCTGATGAGGTCTGGTGCCCAATGGGATCAGAATTCTGAATATCTCA